CTATTAGAAACAGATAACATCCTTTATGCTAATTCCAATTAGATTTGTTCACCTTTGGGGGCCATTTGTCTCCAGGAAATGTTTCAAAACTTCTGTACAATCTGATGACAGTTGCAAGTAAGCAGATATCACAAAACAAATTTATTTGATTTTACATATTTCAAATTTGTCAATCTTCTTAAAAAAAGGGGGGAAGTTCTTGTGATCATTCTAGTAAATATAGCAGTATGAAGGAAAGGACATATCATGAGAAGCATTTCTCACTTATGCTGTCTAGAGCTATTTAGCTCATGTCTCAGAGTTCCCAGATATTATTAGAGTGAATGTGGAATGAATATTCACATATTATGTAATATGCAAAATAGAGGGCAAATGCTAAAAGAGGAGCAACACAGTATCTATTCTAAAAGCAAATGTCTTTCTTGTAGTCTTTATATATTTATCCCAAATAATTCCCACTAGGCAAGATAGGGCAGTGAAACAAATGCAATTATTAAACTTGCTACTTTTACATGTGCCAAAGCAAAGTCCTACTCAAAAGTCTTAGATAAAACATGGAAGATTGCCATAATCAAAATGGCCAGTAAAGATGTTCATTATTGCAAAGTTATCTTCTATGAAATTACCCCAGTGACAAGTTTTTAGTTCCTATATCTTGGCAACACATTTTTATTCACTAATTGGAAAAATATATGTGCAGCTGGATTTTTAACATTTATGCTTAAGAGGTCTTTCCTACTAATCAGAACAAAAGTTATATCATCTAGTATGTGGATTTAACTAAAATACTAAATACAGTTTTGGTGGGCTAGCTACCCTTCCCAGACAATGGTGCAGTGAGGGCTTGGCCTTAGTGTCAAAGTTCATGATTCCAGAGTGAGTGGGAGCTTTAAATGAGCACCCAAAGTGTGACAAGGCCAGGGGCAAAGGGATCCAGCATTGCACTGGGTTGGGCATGCTGAGACTCATGCTGTTTATCACAGCATCTCTTCTTCTTCACTTCTTTTTCTTTTTAATGAAACTCAGTAAGCTACTGACCAGGCATGCAGATTGTTACAGACTTCTCTTTTACTGTTTTTTGTACTTTTAAAATATATTGTGCTTTTCTACGACAAAATGGTGCTTATTCCCAAATAAATGTATGCTTCAGAACTAAAGTAATATTATATTATTCATTTTATTTTTATACTGCCCAATAGCCAAAGCTCTCTGAGTGGTTTACGACAATTAATACATATGACCATCCATATGACGACAATTAATACATATGACCATAAGGTCCTCCCTACTAAAGACCATTAAGTCCAGGGTGCAAAATTATCTAGCTGTACCACCATTCTCAGATTTTGATTTAAAAATAGAAGTATGTTGACTGTTGTTTTACTAGCCCATTAAGAAAAGATATTTAGCATTATACAAATATTATCTCTTTTAAAAAATATTGCTGTTATTCTTACCATTTCTAATATTATTTTCTTTCCTAGGAAATAAAAATATTTCCTAGGGGTATTCAGCTTTCTGTGAACTACAACAGTAAAGATTAATAAATTAAAATTAACACATCATATTGATTCAATACCAGTAGCAGGAGAACTGCTGTAGCACTGCTCCATTCTCTGCTGTCAGGATAATATGGCTGATGCTCCCCTACACATCAACATCAACATTCTTGAAGTGATGGTAATGTTGGAGTAGGAAGAACATTTATGTCATACACAAGTCTCTCCCCTTTTCATTTCCCGCCTGTCAAAGTGACAGGATTCTAGCTAAAGTCTTTTACTGAGTTAGAGATACAAAGTTATACCAAGTGAGTTATTAGCGTCATAAAAGTCATTAGGGAAAAACACCTATCAGGTTAGTTGCTGAGTTAGCTCCTGCCAGTTGCCTGAAGTTGATTCCAATCTGAACTATGGGCCAGAGGGTAGGAATACTGGACCCCACTTAATTGGTCTCTTCATTTGACTTGATGATAAACCACTGGGCTGATAAATTCACATGATTCCCTCTGACCCTCTCTGTTCTACAGTATGTCCCCCTTGAACCAAAGGTCATCTGGTTCTCACCAGCTGCTTGGCTAATCTCAGAGCTTGGTAATCTTGGCATTTCAGCTAAGCAGTTCTTATCTGTCTTCTTCTTCAACTTCAGATTCAGAATCAAAGTCTGAATCTGGTTATCACTATATGATTAATTTTATTTTATAGCACCCTATAGGTAAAGCTTTGTGGCTTGGAAAGCTCTGTTTTGAGAGAAGTAGGCCCAATCCCTATAGCGTAAACCATTATTTGGGTTCCTGATCACAGAAAATGTTTTTAGTTGCATTCATGCTAATGCAAGTAGAATGCCCCTTTAGACCTTGCTGCTCAATATAGCCAGATCAGGGGCTGATGGGCAAGAGATAACATGCATTGCAGCACGAGGCAGCAGCACCAAGTATTGCATCATTGGGCATCACAATGGATGGCCCAATGTCCCTATACAGATGTAGTCCTTATGCATTCAGATTAATGACAACATTGCACATTTCATTCTTAATAATATAGCGTTGGCTCTGACAACAACAACACTTGCCGTTTGTCATACTGCTGCTGTTAAAAGGAAGGCAAAAATACCCTCTCAGTATCTACATTTGTGAATTCTCCATACCAAGCAATAATGCTTACAACTTCTCACCATGTTTAACAAACTATCATGCAATAAGTAAAACATGAATTCCATGTTAAGCATAATTAGGAAAGGCAACATAAAACCACCAGTATACTGTCCCTGTACAAATCCACTGTAAAATTCCAGCCACTGCACTTAAAGAAGGTAGAGTTGGAAGACGGGCAGACAAAAATGTTTGTGGCGACTGAGCAACCCCCTATGAAAAAAACTTACATCTAGAACGATTAAGCTTAGAAAAAAGAGGAGGAAAAGGAGGCATGATAGAGGTGTACAAAATTAAGAATGGTCTGGAGGAAGTGGATAGGAAGACATGTTTCTCCTTTTCATATAATATTAGAACCCAGGGTCATCCTATGAGGCTGACTGATGGAAGATTAAGCACAGAAAAAAGGATGTACTTCTTCACATGGCATGTAAACTAAGGAATTTGTTACCACAAGATGGCCACCAATTTGAATAACTTTATTGGAGGATAGGGCTATTAATGGCTACTAACTATAGCAGTTAGATACATCTCCAGTATCAGAGGCAGTATGTCTATATACACAATTTGCTGGGGTACATGACCAGTTAGAGTGAACTGGTCAGCCATGTCAAAACAGAAAGCTGGGCTATATAGTCTCTTGGTGTCTATCATGGCTCTTATGTTCTTATGAAGATCCTCCCTATCATCTACATTTCCTGGTTGCCCCATAACAGTGAAAGGGAAAGTTGCCCCATAACAGTGAAAGGGAAAGTGCATGCTGGCTTCATTGCACATGGCAAAAACTTGTCAATATTACAATATGGAAAAAGGAAAACTCACCATGGAGATGCTGTTTTCAGCAGCAATCCTTTAGAAACAATAATCAATGTGTTCGTTTTAAAATTTGTTCACTAGCAAGAATGTGTTTGTAACAGAGCATATATAGTTATATTAGTGCATAACAAAACATTGATAGTGTCAGTATATTAAAAGTTGAACAAAAATGTCAGAGTGAGTCAGTGGGGTGCATTAAGTATGTTTTGTGGACTCAATCTTTCAGGTTATTAAGGTGATCATGTTCTTATTGCCCAACATATATATCTATGCACATTGCATATAATGTAGCAAAAGTTAACAACAACAAAGCTCCACTTTAAATTAACCAAATAAAGTGTTCAGTTAAATGCATACAAGTCCCATTGTTTTCAGCAGCATCCAGGACTACCTTTTGGTTATTGGTAATTCTTATATTTTTAAAGCTCCTTCTCCTCACCCACAACAATGATGTGCCATGGCATTTAGAGTATAACACAGAATATGATGATGTGCAAATGTAAATAACTAATGTTTCATTATGCTTCAAACATTATTAAAAGGCGTTAAGAGTAAAAGCTGAAGCTATTCAAATGGATTTCCCATACCAAACCTATTTTGAGTTTTCAACTAATATATAAAATTCATTGTTGTTGTTGTTTTACAGTTATACAACATGGTTCTTTCTCCTAACCTTGCCCACATTTACAACTTGCAAGTTCATGTATACTCCAGTATAGGTACATATATCCCAGTTTCAGCTACACATGTAAACCCTCATAAAGTTTCTTCTTTGTGGACCCTGTGACCCATACATATTGGTTCCATACTGTCTTTTGGAATATTCTAGAGCTGAGTACATCCTTATGTTGCAGCTGTACCCATGCACCCTCTGCACCTGCTCCAAGGTGCAGCTTTCACCCACCTATTCAGCTGTTTTTCATACTGTTCAGAATGTTCTCCATATAGCATGATTTCTCTTTCTGAGAAGCTACAGTTTTGCTGGGCAAAGTTTTTTTCCCCTTCCCTTTTAATTTTATCTTGACCATTGAGTTCTCTTAAATTTTTCTTTTGCTTGTTCTTTTTTCATCTCAGGGATGCATAGCCTCCAAGGACTTACTGTGGCAGAAAGATATGACCAATGGATGGTTACTCTTTCTGCCTTTGAGTAAAGGATGTCAAGTTGCATCTGGCTCACAAGCCACATGTAACTAGTCTATCCTAACCCACTGAACATGTCGCCAACATGCAACCTGAGGATTCAGACATCTGGTCAAGGTTATTATTGATCTGATTCACCTTCACTGTCATCTATGGTAGCATCCACTTCTGCTCTGGATGCAACAGTTAGGGATTAATACCCACTTTTCCCATTAGATGATGTGAACAAGTACTTAGAATAGTTAGTTCCTGACTGGGCTGAAGTCTTTTAAAAACCTGACATCCTGATATTAGTAACTATTGGTAACTTCATTTCCTGAAGTTGAATGCATCAGTTTAGTCTCAGGTACAGCAAAAACAAGAGAAAATCCTTATAACAATAGTACTGTAAGCATACCTATTGTATTTTCTGCACAGACATTGCTGGCAATTTAGAAATTTCTGCAGCATTATCCATCCCCTTCTTGTGCCACTGTCACAGCTTGTCATGGAATGATCAGTAGTAATATGATATGAATGATACCAGTCCCCCTCTTCACTACTATGAGGATAGATCAGTACCATGTCACAGCATCCTGTAGCATTGAAACTACAAAGGGAGAAGCACATAGAGAGACTGTTCTTGGTATCAGTGATTCTGTTTTTCTCACCACAGAAATTATGCCACAGTCATTGCCTTCTGAATTTATACAGGTGCCCAACCACATCCTCTGACTATCCTGACACTAAGTCTTCAGTAGTCTATTGCCTATGTTTCCACTGTCCAACTTCTAGAATTTTAAGTCTGGGAGAGGAAAAGACAAGATTTTTCTTATACACCCGGATGCCTGGTAACTGGAACATGTTTAGGGTAGTGCCGGCATTGCAGAAGACAGTGGAATGAGAGAACAATTAAGAACTAGTCTTTGCATTGAAAGATGACTTCATGCAACTACTATGACCATGCATTTTCATGGAGTGCATTTTCATGTGGACTGATGACCAGTGTAAACTGGAGGATTCATTGGAATGCTAGAAAATTGTGATGTTGTTATGGAGGTCTATTCTAGTAAACCAGTCTGCACAGTAGGGTAAAGCTAGCATAGAAGAGAATAGAATTTCTGGCTTTGACGTAGTGACTGATGCTGAGAAACTACAGTGTTACTGGGACAAGAAACTAAGATCTGAACATATATGACCCATTTTAGCTCATTTACATGGGGTCCCTTTATGTCTCCAATTCAAGGTGTTTGTTTTAACCTACACAGTCTTATATCAGTTGGGACCACAATACCTGATGAAACACCACTCCTGAACTGAATCTAGCTTGATAATGCAATCTACATCTGAGGCCTAATATACATACCAGATCAACTCATATGCCAACTCTCCAACATGTTTGTAGCCATTAAAGGACTATGATGTCATCCAAAGCCTTCCTTTGGGGTATCCTGCTGCTACAGTTCTAGAGCTCAATAACATGAGCTTAGCTGTCCACTTTCAACAAGCACTACCACATGGATACAAAGACCCATATAGATGCAGCATCAGCTAAGCATTCTTTCTATTCCCATTATGTGTGAATCACAGGTTATGAAGGAAGGAAGAAGAGAATGCTTAATTATTTGAATGACCATCTGTGAACTCACACCACCCATCCTTCTCCCCAGTTTGACAACTCATTCTCAAATTGTTCCTCTGCCATAGTGGACTAGGAGAGGACTAGGAACTCAGCAATACTCCACGGTGTGTATAGAAGGAGGTGGGTTGAGTTCCCACCTCAAACTGTTCAGCTCTAGAATGTTCTGAATTGCTGTTCTGCAAAGGGGTAGAATCCATATGTCTGAGTTCACAAATGATCACATAAAGAAAGAGCCCATCATTGGTCAAGAAAACATGTTTCTTCACTCCTATATCTGTGAAATTTATCATGTTTATAACTCCCACAGCATGGAAGTAGAAGGAACCCAATATATTCTAACATTCTTTTGCCACACCAATTTAAACAAAGGCTAATGTACAAAGCTTAGTAGCTTTGTACAGCCTCATGCTACTGTGAAAGTAGAAAGAGCATCAAGAGGACCCTTCCAGAAAGGTCTTATCTGGTACTTCTGAAACATTCAGAGTATCTAAATCAAAACCTGCTGACAAACAATGGCATAGCTAGGCTGATCACACATAGAAAGCAATGTGTGAAATGGTTCATAATTCTTTTAATATTCAGGCTCACCAAAGAACCCTTTCCTGACCAATACTCGCTTGAACTTTTTCCCACAGAGTCAGGACCTGGCTGCTCTGCTATGAGGTGTCATACTTACCTAGTTGTTAATATAAAGAATGTTTAATGCCTAGAGATTTTAAATTCTTTAAAACCAACATGGACATCTATCTAAATGACCAGCCATTGTCATCTCTATATTCACCAAAACAGGCTGCTCTCTCTTCCTCTCTCCATGACTATGTCACTGGAAAAAAATTCTGAGAAGTCTAGAGGCATGGAATATTAAAGCTTTCCTTATTTCAAATTTTTAAAAGAAAGTGAACCAACTTAAGTATATGATCTACAGGGGAAATATTTAAGAGGCAAAATTATTTGATCACAGTTTGAGCTGGATTATTAATTAAAGAAAAATATAGCATATTTACCTTCAAAACATTTTTGTTTCAGGGGACAACAGATAAACTTGGTCCAAGTTTTTTCCTCCACATATCTTGACATGCTATTGCTTTTTAATAACCACAATCTTGAACTGTTGGCGGGGGAGGGGTCACACATAGTTTATATGAAAAGCCATATCAGGCCGGTTGCAGTAGAAACCTAAGTATAGCTTGCTGAATTATTGTCCATTGCTTAGTTTGGATGGCACTACTTTTAAGCAAATCCAGTTTAATTATAACAAACCATATCATTGGAATATAGTTTACATAGATAAATACACAATATTTTAATATACATGAAAATTTACTTAACCAATATTATCAAACATTTACTTCTATGAAGTTTTTTGAACCCATGTACTGTTCCTAGCTAGCTAGCAGCAGCTATATTTTGTAGTACAGCTGTAGCAATAAAATTACTGAAACTACAATTCTCTTAATATTTAAATAATATATTAAAATTTAATATTCAGCACCTGGAAAATCCATGTGTGTGCCAGCAAATGAGATACTTGGGCCTGGAGCTTTTATACATATGGGACTCAAAAACAACCTATCACAAATAATTACTAAGCTAGAGCAGCTGTACACACCATACTAGACATTTTAAAATCAGGTCAAAGTTGCTTGAATCCGTTGCTTTTAAATTAAGTCTTCACACAGAAAAAAAGATCAAAAAATTAAAAGTCCACTGTGGTTTCTACAACTGTTTCCACACTATTTTATAATTATTTAGTATTTATAAAAGTAATGAAATAAGGCTATAGGGATTTAACATTTTTTCTGCAAAACTTAAAAATACATTATTCTACACTGCATGAAAGTTCTTTTAATAAAATTGTTAGTACATATGGATATGAGGTACAACTGATTTTGAAGATCATTTGTGAATGAAACAATACATTATAAAATAGTACTGTTTTAACATAATATGTTCTAAATAAATGCTATTCTATCTTAATAGCATTTATTCATGTTTGAACTTACTGTAAATTATGTGCACTAGTATATTTATTCATTATATTATTGATGGGATCATATATTGATTGAAACATAAACAGCAATACATTTTAAATGTTGCAATATCCTTTAAAATATTTAGCATACTATGCTTTTTCTCCCAGTGTAGTATAAAAGCTCTTCAACTTTTCCAGGGAGGGAGAGGATAAGTACCAGACATTTGTACCTCATTACCCCAAATAATTCTAATGCAAGTCATTCTACTACTACCATGCTAATAAGACATCCAATTTACTAAACAATGAATATTGAAAATACATTTAAAAGGTACAAATGACTGTCCAAGGAATGACACTGGAAAATATTAAGTAACAGCTCTACCTCCAGATAAGCCTCACAATTAAAGAGTTTTAATGAAGAGAGCTTTCAAAGGCAAAATCAGGAGGCATTGATTAGATTGCCTCTAACTTTGTGTTTTGACACCTTCATCTTTCGTGGCATTATATTGTCTCTGTGCATCTTACAAAGGAAGCCTTTTACTAAGCCCACACATGAACAAGAGACAGCAGTGCTTATAAAAGAGACTGTCAAGGGTGTAAGCCAAAATGGGTCTCATTTGGATTCCAAGTAAAGAAAACTCCTAATGCATTTCATTACAATGTATGTGAACCTCTGAAAAGAAGGATGGACTGGGATTCTCATCCCTATTAATTTATTGAAATGGATTCAGTTTTTTTCTTGTATATCATGAGAGACCATGTGTTTCAACCAAGGTAACAATATTATAGAACCAAATATGCTGTGTGTCGGTTTGTGAGATAAAAAGGATGCATTTTTAAATATTTTGAAAAGATTAAAAATTACAAACTACACCAAGTTTTCAGAAAATAGATAGTGTTTGTTAGTATTAGTTTTAACTGCATGCTCTTGTATGTCACACAATTTTGTTTTGACCCTATCATATTTACTTAGAAGCAAGCTCCACCACTGTTCAGCTACAGCACACCTAGTAATCTTGTTCTCCTAACACATCCATGCATTTATAATTAAAGTGTTATAACAATTAAATAACACTGGCCAATATTTTATAGAAAGGTGCAATGTGAGCAGGGATGTACCTATTTTATTAAATCTGTTCCATCTATGTTGCACAAATTGTCAGGTATCTTTCTGTCATATGCTTATTAGCAAAATTGCTAATATGCATTAATGCTTAGGCACACGCTATCAAATCCTCCCTAGCAGGAAAAAAACTGGGCTACAAATCTGCAGGAACCATATGACATAGAAAAAGCCAGTCTGTTGTGGAATCCACAGGTCAGATTCAGAGAATTAGAACTAATTTGAATTCATTGGGTATTTTTCCAACATCCTTAAATATCCTTAAATATTTCCTTAAATAGTCCATAAGCATTACAAATAGTACTGTTACATTATGAAAAATTGAGGAAAAGTTTTTTTTTTTAAACACCCATTTGCACTTGGGTGTTTACTATCCAATTACTATCCTGTGAAGTTTGTCAGATTAGCTCCAGCCAAGATAACCAATGGTCAAGAAAAGTCTGGTGTAGTCCAACCATCTATTCATGGTTGTATTATTATACATTCTATTATTTTCAAATATACAATATGAAAATATACATGTCTAATTAGTTCAATACCAAGGACATTTAGAAATGAGTAATCCATGAACAATAAACATTGAATGAGCACAAAGCTTTTATATATTATGCAAATTCAGTAACACGTGTGGTAAATTAAAATGTAGCATAGATGAGTTATCTTTAAAGTATCTATGCATATACCAATACACACTATGGCATTCTGTATATTAAGCACATGTATACATGTGTATTGCAACATGTGTTTATACAATTCAGTAAATCTCAGCAACTTGGTCAATATTGACATTAGTTGTTAATTCCTTTAAAAGTCCAGCAGAAAATATCAGAAACGTTTAAGTCCGAAGGCATGCATTTTGTATTCATGGTT